ATCCACCTGGGACCTTCAGATAAGTGTTCCTATTATGTAGTTTTTTGCTTCACATCTGTCCTCTTCTCTCCAGCTCCATCAAAATCCCCTACCACGCCTCTCACTGATCGCTACTAGGTCCTCCTCTCTCTGGCTCCCTGAGCTTTTGTCATAAACTCGTCTTTAAAGTCTATGTAAGGTTCCTGTCTCCACAACATCACTTGCAGGCTACTCCACTTCCTGACGACTCTATGACTTAAGAATTATTTTCCTGACATCAAAGTGTCTCGTCTGAGTCTTCAGCTTTCAATTGTGACCCCTTGTCTCTGTATCCATTAAAAATATCTGGGGGGAACATCGGCTCTATCCACCTTATCTATTCCAATCATATTTTGCATGTCGTTATCCATCTCTCCTGACCCTCCTGTCCCCATGCCCTCACCCGTTTCCCTCAACCGTTCTTCGTAGTACTACCCCTGAGCTCCGAACTAACCTTGTTGCCAAACCTTGGGTAACTTTCCCTCAATTCTTGTCGTGCTTGACCAGTTATGGTTTACAAACTGTGCTGCTTACACAGGATTGGCCTGACGTGCACAGTTACATTGTCCTTGAACGATTCCTTACAATGTATCGAATGTATGGGTTTGTGTGTCTGTGTATGAGTGTTTTGTGCTTGAGTGTTGTGTGTGGTGTTGTGTGTGTGTGTGTTGTGTGTGTGTGTGTGTGTTGTGTGTTGTGTGTGGTGTGTGTGAATGTGCATGTGTGTGTGTTAGTGTTGTGTGTCATGTGTGTGTGTGTATGTACTCACCTCACTAGCGTGATCGTGTGTGTGTGTGTGTGTGTACTTACCTAATTGTACTCACCTAATTGTGTTCAAGGTGGTCGAGACTCAGCTCCTGGCCCAGCCTCATCACGATCGCTACTAGTCCTCTCCCTCTCTGCTTCCTGAGCTTTTGTCATACCTTCTTCTTAAACCTATGTATGGTTTCCTGCTCCACTACTTCACTTGCTAGGCTATTCCACTTCCTGACGACTCTATGACTGAAGAAAACTTCCTAACATCCCTGTGACTCGTCTGAGTCTTCAGCTTCCAATTGTGACTCTGTTTCGTGTCCCCCTCTCTGGAACATCCTGTCCTCTGTCCACCTTGCCTATTTTTCCCCCTCAGTATCTTGTAGTCGTATATCATGTCCCCTCCCCTGACCTTCTGTCCGCAGTGTCGTCAGTCCGATTTCCTCAACATTTCCTCGTACGACATTCCCTGACTCTGGGGAACTAGCCTTGTTGGCAAGAACCCCCCCCCTTTTGTACTTTCTCTAACTTCTTTGACGTGCTTGACCAGTGTGGTTCCAACCTGGTGCTGCATTACTCAGTATGTGCCTAACATACACAGTGTACAGTGTCTTGAACGATTCCTTATTAAGGCATCTGAACGCTAATTCTCAGGTTTGGCCAGGCGCCCATAAAGCCTGCAGCAGTTATTTGGTTGATGTGTGCCCCGTGACGTTCCCTCGGTGTTATGGTCCACCCCCTAGATCTTTTCTCCCTGAGAGAGTTCTGTATCTTTTGCCACATAGCCTATACTGTCTGCCAGTCTTCTTTGCCCCTCCGAAAACTTCATGATTAGCATCTTTGGTCAGGGTTGAATTCGAGAATCCCAGTTTCTGGACACGTGTCCAGCCTGACCAGGTCTTTTGCAGTTCTGCCTCATCCTCATCGATTTAATTCTTCTCATCAGCTTCACATCATCCGCGAAAAGTGACACTTCAGAGTCTATTCCTTCCATCATGTCGTTCGCTTATATCAAAAATAGTCACTGTCCTAGAACTGACCCCTGTGGGACCCCGCTCGCCACAGGCGCCCATTGGTGATACCTCTTCACGTACCATGACTCGTTGTTGCCTCCTTGTCAGGTATTCCCTGATCATTGCAGTTCCCTCCTTCTTATATGTGCCCTGATTCCCCAGCTTCTGCATAATCTTCTTGTGAGAACTGGTCAAAGGCCTTCCTGCAGTCCAGTAAATGCAGTCAACCCACCCCTCTCTCGTGTCTTAACTTCAGTTACCTTTCATAAAACTCCAGAAGTTTTGTGACATAGGATTTTGCCATGCTAGTTTTCATTTAATCTTGTTCCGTTCCAGTGTTTCCACCACTCTCCTCCTGATGATCTTCTCCATGACTTTTCATACTATTATGTCAGAGACACAGGTCTGTAGTTTAAGTGCCTAATTTCTGTTCCTTTCGTTAATATGGGGACTACATTTGCTGACTTCCATTTCCCAGGAAGTTGCCCAGTTTTCAGGGATGTGTTGAAATTGTGGTATTGTCACACACAGCGTCTCTGTTCCTTCTCTAAGGACCCACGGGAGAGTCCTGTCCCGATAGCCTTTGAAGGTATCAAGGCACTTGCAGCTTCTGCACCTCCTCCTCGTTGTTCGTAATCAGTCTCAACACTTGTTGGTATAATTCCCCTCTTGATGTTCCCTTTTTTGGCTGTCTTCCCCAGAGGCCTTCCTGTCTCGTACTGTAAAACTTCCTTAAATCTCCTGTTTAGCTCCTCACATACCCCTGAACATTTCTGTGAGTTCCCCGACCTTCTGTCCTCAGTTTTATCACCTGGTGCTTTGTTGTCTTCCCATTATGTGGCTATACAACCAAGTTTTTTCGGGTCATCTTGATTCTCGATGCTATGTCATATTCATACTGTCGCTGGGCCTCCCTCCTTAACCTCTGGCATACTCGTTCCTGCTCTGAACAATTCTCCCTATTTCAAAAATGTGTTTCTCTGCCTCTGTACTTTTTCCATTCCCATTGCACTTTGTTTGTTGCCTCCTTACAACGTCGTGTAAACCATGCTCGCTCTGGTTTTCCCATGTTTTTCTGTTGGCCCTTGGAATAAACTTTCCACTTGCCTCCTTTGCGTTTTGTTGTTACATATTCCATCACTTTCCATTTATTGGCTCTCCTGCAGTTCCTCTGTCCCATGGAACCTCCGCAGGAATCCTCAAATCTATGATATACCTCTTTTTATAGTCTGGGCTTTTCCAATTCAACTCGGTTACTCACTCCCTTTGCAACTCTACTATGTATTCAAAGCACAGAACCACGTGGTCACTAACTCCTAGGGGACTCTCATATGTGATGTCCTAATGTCTGAACTCCCAGGGTGAACACAAGGTCAATCTTGCTGGTTCATCTCCCCACATCACTCTGTAGTGTCCTAACAAGTTGGTGCATGAGGATTTTCCAGCACCACGTCCAACATCTTGGCTCTCATGTTTCGGGAACCCCTTGTGGCTCCAGGGTTTTCTCATTCAATCTCCCTTTGGGCTGAAATCCACAATAGCCAGCAACTTTGCTCTGCTGGAGTGAAGTTTCTCTTCTTGCCACCTCAGCAAGTGTTGTGTGTGTGTGTGTGTGTGTGTGTGTGTGTTGTGTGTGTGTGTGTGTTTATTCACCTATGTACTCGCCTATTTGTGGTTTCAGTGGTCCGAGTCTTAGCAGCTGGACCTGCCTCTTAACCGGTTGCTTCTGGGTCCTCTCTCTCCATGCTCTATAGCTTTATCAAACCTCGTCTAAAACTATGTATGGTTTCCCTCCTCCACTATTTCACTTTCTAGCTATTACCACTGCCTTGACCACTCTATGACTGAAGAAATACTTCCTAACATCCCTTTGACTCATCTGAGTCTTCAACTTCCAATTGTGACCTCTGTTTTCCTGTATCCCCTCACTGGAACATCCTGTCTTTGTCCACCATGTCCTATTCTGGCGCAGTATTTTAATGTCGTTATCATGTCTCCCCCTGACCCTCTGTCCTCCAGTGTCGTCAGCTGAATTCCCTTAACCTTTCCTTCAAGGACATTCCTCCTACTCTGGAACTAACCTGTCGCAAACTGTGGCCACTTTCTCTAATATCTTGACGTGGTTGATCAAGTTCGAGTTCCAAAACAGGTGGCTGCATACTCCAGTATAGGCCTGACGTACACAGTGTACAGTGTCTTGAACGATTCCTTGCTAAGGTATCGGAACGCTGTTCTCAGGGGTTTTCCAGGGGCCCATATTCTGCAGCAGTTATCTGGTTGGGGTGTGCTTCCGGAGGCATGCTCGGTGTTATACCCCCCAAGAAACTTTCTCCTTGAGCAAGGTTTTCAGTGCTTGGCCACCTAGCCTATACTCTGTCTGTGGTCTTCTGTGTCCTTCCCCTATCTTCATAACTTTGCATTTAGTGGGGTTAAATTCGAGAAACCAGTTGCTGGACCAGGTGTCCAGTCTATCCAGGTCTCTTTGAAGTCCTGCCAGATCCTCATCTGATTTAATTCTCCTCATTAACTTCTCATCGTCTGCGAACAGAGACACTTCTGAGTCTAACCCTTCCATCATGTCATTAACATATACCAAAAGTAGCACTGGTCCTAGGACTGACCCCTGTGGTACCCCGCTCATCACAGGTGCCCACTATGATACCTCATTACGTACCATGACTCGTTGTTCCCTCCTTGTCAGGTATTCTCTGATCCATTGCAGTGCCCTTCCTGTTATATGCACCTGATCCTTTAGCTTCTGCACTAATCTCTTGTGAGGAACTGTGTCAAAAGCCTTCTTGCAGTCCAAGAAGATGCAATCAACCCACCCCTCTTTCTCATGCCTTATCTCTGTTACTTTATCATAAAACTCCAGAAGGTTTGTGACACAGGATTTGCCTTCCATGAATCCGTGCATGTTGGCGTTTATACTCCTGTTCCGTTTCAGGTGTTCCACCACTCTCCTCCTGATAATCTTCTCCATAACTTTGCATACTATACACGTCAGTGACACAGGTCTATAGTTTAGTGCCTCTTTCCTGTTTCCTTTATTAAAAATGGTAACTACATTTGCCGTCTTCTATACCTCAGGTATTTTCCCAGTTGTGTGTGTGAGTGTGTGTGTGTGTGTGTGTGTGTGTGTGTGTGTGTGTGTGTGTTTTGTGTGTGTGTGTGTGTGTGTATGTATGTGTGTGTGGTGTGTGTGTGAGTGTGACTTAACTGAATATAGAAACAAATGCCACACTGCGTTACTCAAACGAATTTCTAATAACATCTCTACAGGATGTACGTGTTGACGACCGTGATGCCCACTGCCTGTTGACGACCGTGATGCCCACACCTGTTGACGACCGTGATGCCCACTACCTGTTGACGACCGTGATGCCCACTACCGTTTGACGGACCGTGATGCCCACTACCTGTTGACGGAAACCCTGATGCCCACTACCTGTTGACGACCGTGATGCCCACTACCTGTTGACGACCGTGATGCCCACTACCTGTTGACGACCGTGATGCCCACTACCTGTTGACCGTGATGCCCACTACCTGTTGACGACCGTGATGCCCACTACCTGTTGACGACCGTGATGCCCACTACCTGTTGCCGTATGCCCCCCTACTTTGACGACCGTGATGCCACACCTGTTGACGACCGGATGCCCACTACCTGTTGCGACCGTGATTTTCCCCCTACCCGTTTCGACCGTGATGCCCACTCCTGTTGACGACCGTGTTTTTCCCACTACCCGTTACCGTGATGCCCCCTACCTGTTGAGGGCCGTGATTGCTCTACCGTTTTTACGACCCCTGATGCCCATACCGTTGACGACCGTGATGCCCACTACCTGTTACGACCGGGGATCCCCCCTAAATG